TCCGAGCCAACGTTTTGCGATTCTACTCACCGGACAAGTGAACAGATAAATGAAATGAAAAAAGAAAATCGTACCCACTTTTGTGCATCTGGATGGCGTTTGCCAGTGGCATTATTATTACTTCCTCAATCTATGCTACTATGTTCCTTCTCTGACCCCTGCCCCTGCCCCCACTTTCCAACCTGCAGATTTGAAGCAAACAACTGCTTATCTCTCCTATTTTTTGTGTACGACTGTATTTGTTCTTGTTGTTTTGTGTATGTGTCTTGGATAGTAGCCTCTCAAATGTGAATATAAAGCACTAGTAGTTAATAAAGTGTGGAGACATGCGTACGGATTTACGGGAAAAAATAAACAAACTAATGTCCCAATACCGCAAATTTGGAAGAATTTACAAAGATAAATCACCATGATATGTATACTTGCATCACCTTTTCGATGCCTTACTAGCACTACGAAGATGGTTCAAAGTAAAGCAAGATCCCCAATCCGCCTGGAGGTTATGCGCTGCTATCACGCCGTAATGAGTGGAAAGTCGATCTCTTCCGTCGCCTCTCCTGACAGTGGACTCACTTATCGTGTGTGGTCGGGCCTATTCAATCCTATCCGCACCACGTCTGTGGAGATGGCAGGTACCAGTGGAGGTGCGTGATGGTGAAAGCGCACCATCGCAGCGATGGAGGTGTTACCTCTAACCCTCCAACACCCACTGGCATTGGCAGAAGCGCTTGAGCGATGACAGAAATATCAAACCACTTAGTCATAAGGCAGTTGACTGAATGCTGTCAGTGCTTCAAATATGTGCAGCTCTACGTCTGTCAGTCAAGACGTGGACTGTGGTAACTCCGTTACTAGCCCACAGCTTAGCGGTCATTTCCGTGAATGGTTTGTAGGGTGGAATTTTACGGGAAACGAGCGATTCTGTGGACAGAGTGGAAAAAAAGCCGCCAATATAACACAATGCAACATAACACAGCATAGCACATTCATAATAATGCACAGTTTGCAGTGGGTGTCGAGTACCAACATCGCAGGCGAAGTGAAGCAGACTGCTGTAGGATGAAACAGTTCAGACGCATTAGCAGATATTTCCTACTCTGAAAGTGGTTTCTGAGTTCTCAACCCCAGTAATCCAGAATCATCGGCTTCAATATGTAAGTCTGCATTTGCTGGAAAGTGTGAGATGGGGATAAGATGTCCGGCGGATAATCGGGAGCTCCGGTAGGTACCCCTCTAGGGTTGTCCATCTTAGAATGCCATTAACGAATCCGGAAGGGACTGCACGAGAACGCAAATTTTGAGCCGTTCTAGAGCGTTCACGAAAGATTTACGAAAAAGAGAGCCTTTGGAGACTCAGGGTACAAACCAAGAGGTAGAGAGTGCGGTTTAACTTCTCGGTATATCTACTTCTCTCCTTTTGGTCAATTTAGACTCGTAATCAGCTTTAACTCCCTACTTACGTCCCCAAAATAGTATTTTTGCCTTAGTTTAGTCGCATTTCTCACGGATCTCCTTTAAAATGTGATTCCTTTTTTCTGACATATTGGTAATTCCTTCTTTTACTATAGCAACCCTGTACGCAAACCTTCCGCTTTTCTTCCGACTGATTGTAGAAGTTAGGCCCCACCAAGCATTGTCGCTGAATATTTCATAGAATGCAAAAATTTGTTACTACGTTTTTTTTGCGGAAAAGTGGACTATAGTGAAGAGGTCGTAGCGTGAATTGAGTAAATTCGCTCTATCTTTTGTATAATTGAAAGAAGAGTGGACAAACTGGTATGCTTATCGGTTTAAAAGTGGATGAATGAAACGGATCCGGGGTACAAAGTGGATATCTCGTGCTTCAAAAATGATAAAAGATAAGAGTTGTTGAATTCTTCCGCTAACCATAACTGTAGTAGATTAACTGTCCGTCTAACCCTCGTTTTCGGTCACAGGTTAATGAAGGGCTCAGCCATTGTACCTTTGCCGGGTGGTCAGGCCTCGAGGCTATGCCAGTAGCCCTCAGTCCATCTGTGGATCCACAATATCTACTCTACCCGAGTATTGCGTCTACTTTCGTCTTTAGAGATGTCCTGAGGAAATAGATTGGTGGAAGGGGAAAGCAAACCCAATCTTAAAGAACAACTATCCTGATCACTACTGCTGGGTAGTTAGCGTCAGTGTGATGGAAAAAGTTCATATGCCGTGGATGAGAGAATGGGTGACAAGTCATGGCCGGACTGAAGGTGTGCACATGCTGCGAATGGGAGAAGCATTAACTACCCCCACCGGAAGGACGCATGTCTTCAACAACTGTCCCAGTCCTGTCGTCTGCAAGGAAGCTAGTTACAGTTAAAGCAACATTAGACGTGAAGCTTCTAGAAAAAGTTTGTTACAAAGCTGTCTACCGTGCGTGTATAAAGATGTCAATTATGTAAGCATGCGATACCGCCGCCTCCTCCTCCTCCTCCTCCTCCTCCTCCTACCCATGCTTGCTGGACAGACCCCAGGTAGATATGACTGAGCGGCCCTAAAGGGAGAATAACGTGGCAAGTAGAAAATAGACGTGAAATCCCACCTTCACGGGATGTTAATGAGATGGAATGGCAATTGCCAGAGGAAGACCTGGAAAGTGAAATTGCAATATTGGTTGAAATGTTACCCTAAAATAAAAGAACCGACCTAAAAATATTTTATTTTTACAAAACACTGTAGTAGTTTTTAGTTGTTGTGTGATCTAAAAAAATACAATTCTATATAGTGGTATTCTCAGAGAAGAAAAACCAAACAGAAAATAAATGAAAGAATCTCATCAAGAATATCAACTGAATGCGGTAAGAATTTACAGTGAAGAAAGAAGAAGAAGTTCAGATCGCATGATTCTGGTCTGTCATCATTAATCCATCAAGCCAAATCGTCATGACCGCGTTTGGTAAGCAGAAAATTGTTTTGTAGTGTCCTGAAGCCCCTCTGAATACCAAAATAAGACATAATACTCGAGTAGAGCATGCTTTGCCGACATGGCGAAGGGATTGGGGCTACCAACATGGCCCAGAGGACAGCCCATCTGGTCAAGACAACCAGGTTGCCCCTTTGCCAGTTGAAGCAAAGCACATTTCCTCGCCCCATTCTAACATCAGCCCGGCGCGCCCTTCGGATAGCCTCTTGCGTCAGCCATCGCAACGTGATCGGTACAGTCAGAATAACATTCACAAGTCATATGTGCCAGTCATCAAATTTTCATGCAGCAGATGAGATGCTTGACCGCGACGTCGCAGATCCCTCTTGGTGATTCTATTAGATCTGGAGTTTCATACTGTACGGTGGGAAATGGATTCGCGGACGGGGGAACGGGCTGACCATCACGCGTGTTCATCGTTAGTTGTAGGAACAATTACCTAATAGCGGGGTTGTACAAAAAAGGCCAGTTTTAATGCTCTTCCATGAAGGCATGGTTTCACGTCAATCCCCGTTACTACGTTGTTCTCACCTTTGAGTTACCCAACCATATACATCTGGATTCTGTCCAGCTTGTAGGGGAGGAAGAAGAAGAAGAAGAAGAAGAAGAAG